TTGCAATGTTTTTTTCTCATAGTTATTTGATTTGGTCAGCATAGTACATTAAGTGTATTTATCTATAATTTCAGTCAAGAGAACTACAATAAAATGCTAAAAGCACTCTTAAGAAAAAAAGATTGATTTATTTGAAAGGCAGAGTGACTGGGAGGAGAGACAGAAAGACATCTTTCATCCATTGGTTCACTCCCCAAATGGCCACAACAGCCAGGGCTGGGCCAGCCTGAAGCCAGGAGCCTAGAACTCCAAGTAGCAAGGACCCATGTACATGGGTTATCTTCCGCTGCCTTCCCAGGTGCATTAAAAGGAAGCTGGATTGGAGGTAGAACAGTTACAACTTGAAGTGGCACTCTGCTATGGGATGCCAGGATCACAAGCAGTGGCTTTATCTGCTGTGCCAATACAATACCAGCCCCAAGCCAAGCACTGCCTTTGAACAGTGGCTGATAGTCCACATGTGAATGAGTGGTATTGTCTAATATCACTCTATTCCCTCATTCTGCCATTGTATAAAATGATCGGATTTAAAACATCTTTTAAAATTTATTTTCTATTTTACTTGAAATGCCGAGAGACACAGAGAGATTTTCCATCTGCTGGTTTACTCCCCAAATGCTTACAAAAACAGTTAAGTCTGGACCAGGCCAAAGCCAGGAGCCTACAACTTTGAATCTTCATGTGGGTCTCAGGAACTGAAGTATTTGAGCTATCATCTGCTGCCTCCCAGGGCGTGCACTGAAGTTGGATTGGAAGCAGAGGAGCTGTATCTCAAACCAGGCACTCCAATATGGGATGCAGATGTCCGAAGTTGTGTCTTAATCACTGCAGCAAATGCTTATGCCAAAATGATGGATTGTAGCAGCCCCCGAAAGATTGATCCTTGCAGTTAATCAAAGTAGCACTTGGCCTGTCTACACATTTTACTAAATTAAATGGAATGACTAGCTAGAAATTAGGGCAAGCTTTTGTTTTTCATTTAGAAGAAAACTTCTGGAAATTTGGAATTGATAGATGAGATTCTTCATAGTGTTTATGGTAGGTTAGATTCCTGCCAGAAAATGATTCTGAATAAGCTAAAGTCATCAATATTTTTAAAGGGAGGAATTATTGAGTAATGAAGATATTATCTTAAACCTATCATTGACGAAAGATATGCCAAGTGCTTATTGGAATTACTTCACTTGAATAGCTGGCTCTCCTTGCTTTTTCCTGAGATTCCACTTGTAATACTATGCAAAACTATCATCTTGGTAATCCTAATGGATTAAGGCAGGAATCTGATGGGAATGCTGTGTCAGAACTGTCGAAGTGGAAACATGAAGAATTAATAATATTGCTAGAAATGACCAAAAAGTGGAGGCATAGAGAAGAAAATGTAACTAATAGTTAATTTTTAAATTGAAATTAAAATTTGCCAATTGGTGTTTTACATTAGTTGAGCATAAGCAAAATATTTTCATTTTGTTTCTAATCTGCAAAGAGCAGAGGAAATTGGGTGTTGTCCCTTTAATAAAAACCTGTTTACCTATCCTCTGCTAGTAGGAGTGGCTTAGGAACCTGTAGAGTGAGGTGTAACTTCCAATCCTGGGTTTTGACCTGCAGCCTTGCAAAGAGTGTTGATACTACAAACCAGGAAGTGAAAAATAATGTGCTTTAAAGCACATTAGAACTTATTTTCTTGTAAGGAAAAAGCTTCTCACAATAAAATTAGATCGAAGCAGTGATTTTATATAGTTGTCATAAAATATTTGGAGCTCTGCTGTGGATGAAGACTGCAGTATGCAAAGCTTTCTGGGTCAGAAATTGACCTTCTGACTTTTGAGCCTTATCTGGTTACTGCTTGGTTCATCTTTATTTTGTTAAACTGCTCTGTAGGCTGAAACGCGGAGACTCTCCATTGTTCCCAGGTAGGTGGTCAGCTTTTGTTGACGATTTAGGTTGGCTGTAAAGGTTACTCAGGCAGACTGGTTCTGTGGCTGATTATTCAAAGAACTGTGAACATCAGACTGGGCATGTGTTTTAATGTTTGAATATTGAGTGTGGCTGTACAGAACCATATTTTAATAACAACCAGACAACTTTGTAGAAAAAGTCATTTTTAACAAATTAGCAAATCCACAAGATGGTGAATCAATTAGTTCTATATTGTTTTCCAGTACCCTGTTTATATTATATATATATAAAATTATAGATTACATGGTATATTGAAATTAACTTGCTATTAGCTTTGTGACATATTCGATGAAATATTTAAAACATTTATGTAAGCCGGCGCCGTGGCTCAATAGGCTAATCCTCCACCTTGCGGCGCCGGCACACCGGGTTCTAGTCCCGGTCGGGGCGCCGGATTCTGTCCCGGTTGCCCCTCTTCCAGGCCAGCTCTCTGCTATGGCCAGGGAGTGCAGTGGAGGATGGCCCAGGTGCTTGGGCCCTGCACCCCATGGGAGACCAGGAAAAGCACCTGGCTCCTGGCTCCTGCCAGGATCAGCGCGGTGCGCCGGCTGCAGCGGCGGCCATTGGAGGGTGAACCAACGGCAAAAGGAAGACCTTTCTCTCTCTGTCTCTCTCTCTCACTGTCCACTCTGCCTGTCAAAAAAAAAAAAAAAAAAAAAAAAAAAAAAAAAATTTATGTAGTCAAAGTTGCATTTTTGTTGTTAGTATTTTAGTGATAGTAAAAGTTTCACTTTTTTCACTATTAGGAAGCTTTCTGAATATTCATGATTGATTTATCTATTTGCTTTAGTCTGTCTTTGTAATAGTTTAATACCTATTAATTTAGAAAACTTTTTATAAAATATCTTACACAAGTATGTTGAAACATTGCTTGCCTCTCTTTGTAAAGTCAGCCATCCTTTTATGACACTAAAAGTATTTCAAAGAGAATGGCTTTGGAAGAATTAGTTAATTAGTAGTATGAGCTGTCACTGTGAAACAGTTCACAAGTGATTCTACTGGAGTGGAAGTCAGAGAAGAAATGTGTGGGTATTCCTTAAGGATCAAAGACAGTAAGTTCCCTTAACTTTCTCTACCACTTATGATTCTTTTTATTGTTCTTCTCTGGGTCCTGTGCTTCAAAAGACTTCTGAGCAGTCCACAAAAAAGTGGTTATATTAACAACTTAATAGTAGAACATTATTATTTGGTAGTCACACATTATTTTCAAGATGCGTTTATTAGCCTGAGATATATCGAGTTAAATATAATTCAGCTCAAAACAAAGAGGCTTGCCTTTTTTTTTTCTTAGCTTGGATAGATTTATTATAGGTAACCATTTGGATCATTTTGTCATTTTGAAATACTGATAATAACTGAATTTTCCCCAACTGCTCTTGTGGAATCCTAGTGATCTGGATATTGAAAATTGGGGACTAGTGGCTTAAAGTGCAGACGTTTTGTTCTGAATCTCTGATTTTCCATTAGATGTATTGGAGATCATCTAACAAATAAAGATACCATAACTACTAGACAGAGAAAAGAAAGGAGAGAAAAAAAGTGATATTTGATTTAAAAAATTTTTTGAAATAATTTTAATTTTAATTACGTGAAATGGTAATTGTTGGGAACACACAGGGAAGAATTCAAGGCATCTATAGACTTTGGCCCCCTTAAATTTATATTTACTCTAGAATTTCCCAACTTAAAATTTTACTTCAATTAGGCTGATAAACTATTAACTGGCTTTAAAATAAATATTACCTATGTTCATGTATTTATGTTTCCTTATCTCCAACTGTTTCTTTTCTTCATTTGTCTTTCCTTCTGCTCAGCTGAAAACTCTTCTCCAGTGCAAAACCTTATCTGACTGCCTTATCCATAGTAACATTTCCTTCCTTTAGACTTTTCACATATGTTGATTCTACCAGCATTTTAGCGCAATCAGGTGTATATTGTATCTTGCCTTATTTAACTTACAGGTTACCATGTCTCCTAAACAGTATTATAAGTTGTGTGAGGCCAGAAACTTAATTTCTTCATCATTTTTATCTTCCCTAGCAACTAGTGCAGTGATGCACATTTGATAGGCACTAAATAAATATCTGTTGAACGAATGAGAGATGATGAATCTTGCCAACAATTGCTTCAAGTGTTGCACTGCTTTCCTCTACCTTGCTTAAAAATCCTATAATTAACTATTTCTATTTCTAGAAATCATGCAGTTGGTTATCATAGTACTATTGCTTCTGTTTGCAATGTAGTGCATATGTTATTGTAATTTATAATTTTAACTAAAATGGTTAAAATATTCAGATACTTTATGGATTAAGAGGATGGATTCTGAGCTGGTATTTAGGACTCTGAATGGTGATGCAATGGTTATGGTAGACAGGTTGGATTGCAGAATTTAAAATGAGATCAGGAATTGCCAGAAACTATGAATAATTATTTTATATAAAAATTTAAAATTTTATGTGCATTAGTTATTGTAATATCCTTTTAAAATCATCCCTTTATTCTTCATATGAAGTCTGTCTGGTAGACTTTATTAGTCCATTTTTATAGATAAAGAAAACCCAGGTAGAGAAAGGTCAAATAACTACCAAAGTCCCACAACTAGTAGCTGTTACAGTAGGTCATTTTGACTTCAAAATGTGACTTTTCGGGGCCTGCGCTGTGGTGTAGGCTATGTCTCCGCTTGTGGCACTAGCTTCCCATACGGGTGCCACTTTGTGTCCCAGCTACTTCTCTTCTGATCCCACTATCTGCTATGGCCTGGGAAAGCAGTAGAAGATGGCCCAAGTCCTTGGGCCTCTGCACCTGCCTGGGAGACCCAGCAAAAACTCCTGGCTCCTGACTTTGGATTGGCCCAACTCCAGCCATTGAGGCCATCTTGGGGAGTGAACCAGTGGGTGGAGGACCTTTCTCTGTGTCTTTCCCTCTCTCTGTAACTCTACCTCTCAAATGAATAGATAAAAAATATTTTTTAAAAAGTGACTTTTCAATCACTCTGTTGTCTTTTATATTTTTCAATATTCAATGTAATTTTTCTGTCATTTTAGAGCCTGACCAGACAGGAATTCTGGCAACTGCTCCAGCAGAACTATGGCACTGAGCTAGGCTTAAACGCTGAAGAGATGGAAAGCTTGTCACTGTCAATTGAGGACAATGTGCAGCCAAGGTACAGTAACATGTTTTGAAATGTCAAGATTTATTAATCATTAAATTTAGGACCTACTAATTCTGAATTTCTATTAATTCATTTTTGGGTGCAGTGTGTTTGTTCTCTGCAGTGGATAGGGTGAAGTGTGTGACAGAGACTAAGTTTGTTATATAAGTAAGCAAATGCAGGATCTACTTTTTTTTGACAGATAGAGTTAGGCAGTGAGAGAGAGAGCTAGAGAGAAAGGTGTTCCTTCCTTTGGTTCACCCCCCAAATGGCCACTACGGCCAGAGCTACGCCGATCTGAAGCCAGGAGCCAAGTGCTTCTTCCTGATCTCCCATGCAGATGCAGGCACCCAAGCACTTGAGCCATCCTCCACTGCCCTCCTGGGCCACAGCAGAGAGCTGGACTGGAAGAGGAGCAGCTGGGACTAGAACTAGTGCCCATATGGGATGCCGGCACCACAGGCGAGGATTAACCTAGTGAGCCACCGCACTGGCCACAAATGCAGGATCTATAAGGAAATGTTAACCAGGTAACTATGTCACCTAGGAGTGCTTAAAACTTGGTTTTAGTGAGCCTTTTTATTAAGGATCCAAAGAAGTAGCTACTGAGATCTCTGAATTCATAGGTTATAATGAGGTAAAGTAAATGGTGGATGTTTCAAAGGTGACAATGATAATAATAATAATATGACTTTTTCTCAAGGATTCCCTAGTGTAATGATGGCTTGTGGTTGGCATTCAATAAATAGGGAATAATTAGTGAAAGGAGTTTATGTACTCTGGAAGCAAATAATTAATGGCCAAAAAGGAGTAATAGACAATGTGATAAAAAAAAAATGAATAGTGGGGTGGGATTATTTTTGGCCAATGAGGGTTCATTTAGAAGAGTGGGCTTTTTATGTTTTTAATTATCCTATACAAGTCAATGTACATTTTGCCGATGGTAATTGAGGCCACAGCAACAAAAACAACTAAGGATAATACAAGTACATTAACACTATTCAGCAAACAAACACTATGCTAAGTGAAAGAAGCCAGTCAGTCACAGAAGACCGCAGTGTTGTGTGTAAATAGTTTGGAGTCCAGAATCAGTAAATCCATGGAGACAGAAAGATCGGTAATTATCAGGAGCTGAGAAGCAGCAAGAATGAAAGTAACTGCTAGTAGGTAGAGGGTTTCTTTCTGGGGTGATGAAATTAGATGGTGGTAATGACTGCCCAACTCTGCAGACCACTGAATGGTACACTTTAAATGGGGTGAATTTTCAGATTGTGAATTATATCTGAATGAAGCTGTTATTTAAAATTCTACAGTGACTAAATCTGAAAAATGGAAATGTAAGTCTCAACAGGTATACAAAAATTTTACTCATCTAAGTAGTCTGCTAGTTATGCTGATTCTGTTTATATTGTTTCCAGTTAGCATCAATATTTCATAGTATTTTTTAGACCATTGCACATACATATTTTATTAGTTTTTTGTAAAGTTAAACATTTCCATCGGCTGCTCTCCTTGGAAAGTTTTCTAGTTTCTTTCAGGTTCTGAAGTTGGGTACAAAAGCAATCAGTCTAATGCCAAGAGACATAAATTGTGATAACCAATCCAGTCTGGGCTACCGAGCAGCTGAGAAACCTCAGGCAGATCTTTTAACCTTTTGGATCCTCAGTGTACCCATCTGTGAAATGAGGAGGTTGAACTAGGTAATAGCCCAGGCTGCTGCCAACTTGAAGTTTCTGGTCTGTAAAGAAGAAAAGGGTAAATAGTTTTGGTCAGCTGCTTTCTACACTCTTGGGACCAGCAAAGCTGTTATTTTCTTCTTCTGATGATGGGCATGCTTTTTAAGAAAATATGTGGCAGAATCCTCATTCTCTCTTCTTCTTATTTTCATCCTTTGGATCTCTAAAAGAAGCATCTCTGTTTCAAACCATTATTTCTTCAGCTCATCAGTCTCCTTTCTTTTCATTCTTTCCTGTACCTGCACACCTCCCCCACCTCCTTAAAATCCTGCAGTAACGACACTCACCTGGTACACCTGCCCCAGGGAGACAGTTGTCATGTTTGGCTCCCTCAGAGCCCTCCCAATCTTCCTGGCCAGGAGTGACTTCATAGCAGACCTAAGTATTATTTGGGCCTATTAAAATAGGGTGGAAATACTCTAGCTTTTCTGTTCTTTCTTAGGATAAGATAGCTTAAGGTGTCAGACTGCTACTTTATTTTGGAAGAGCTTGAAGTATGTGTTGCACTGATTTTATGAGAATAACAATTGTTTGGTACTGTTGAGTACTGGCAGTTAAATCAATTGTGCTTCTTTTCATATTTAACAGGTTTGTTTTTCTTTCTTTTTTTTCCCTAAGGAAGAGAAAACAGGTGTCGGGGTACTTATTATAGTCTTGGCCCTATACCATTTGAGGCTATCTTTTTAAATTTCAGTGAGGGAGGGAGAATGGGAGGGAGGGAAAGGAAGAACACAACACTCTTCCCATCCACTGGTTCATTCTCTAAATGCCCATGGGTCAGATCCAAAGCCCGGAGCCAAGAGCATAATTCAGCTGCCCCATGTGGATAGCAGAAACCCAACTACTTGAATCATCACCACTGCCTCCTAGGGTCTTCATTATCAGGATGCTGGAGAGGAGCTGGAGGTAGAAATTGAATCCAGGTACTCCAGTGTGGGAAGTTTCATCTTAACCTCCAGGCTAAATGCTTGCCCCTGATAGCGCTTTCTTAAATCGGTTCTTTTTTTTTTTTTTTTTTTGACAGGCAGAGTGGACAGTGAGAGAGAGAGAGACAGAGAGAAAGGTCTTCCTTTGCCGTTGGTTCACCCTCCAATGGCCGCCGCGGCCAGCGCGATGCGGCCGGCGCACCGCGCTGATCCGATGGCAGGAGCCAGGAGCCAGGTGCTTTTCCTGGTCTCCCATGGGGTGCAGGGCCCAAGCACCTGGGCCATCCTCCACTGCACTCCCGGGCCACAGCAGAGGGCTGGCCTGGAAGAGGGACAACCGGGACAGAATCCGGCGCCCCGACCGGGACTAGAACCCGGTGTGCCGGCGCCGCTAGGCGGAGGATTAGCCTAGTGAGCCGCGGCGCCGGCCTTAAATCGGTTCTTGAGTTTGAGAAGAGAAGAGGGTGGGTGTGTTCAGACATCAGGAAGTTCCAGTTCTGGGAGAGATTTGCCATCTCAGCTTGGATTGAGTAGAAGGAAGAATATCTACAAAGGCCTTCTGCTGCTCTGGTGCTCCCCGGCAGACATCCACCTGCACCTTTTGAAGCTTCATGCTTGTCCACAGCTGGAATTCAAACAAGCGGCAGCCATTTGATTAGTTGCTGTTGTGGCCACTTGTACTTTGTTAATTTTTGATGGTTTCTGAAATTTATAGACTCTCATGTGAGCACCTCTTATTTTCAGAAATGAAGTCAGTTTGCATGTGATTTACAAACTAGTCTTACAAGTAGAGGCTTGCTACATTCTAGTAATCCATTTGTCAAAATGCTTTATCTTAGACAAGGACCTCGAGTAAACCAAATAATTTCTTTGTGTGGAGGTGACCTGATATTTCTATAATGAGGTGTTTCTTACAGAAATCCAGGAAGAAGCAGCTTGGATGACTCTGGGGAAAGAGAAGAAAAATTATCCAAATCCATCAGTTTTACTCGTGAATCAGTTAATCGGGTTTCAGAAACAGAGTCACTGGATGGAAGTTCATCAAAAAAAGTTAGTATGATGATATCCCTTTAAAAATATATATTTGGTACTGTTGTGTGTTATTCATAATGTAAGACCAAATAAAAACACAATATACATAATGTTTAAAAACTCAAGATGTCAGGGTAGTAGTATATTTTAGGAGAAGAGTTTGAAGTCTGTAAGTATCTGAGGTTATGTCAGAAAAATATGTGGTTTTGGTCAGAGCTGGATAAGGTGCAGTGCTAGCAGGCAGTTCCCTAAGCATCAGGTGCATAAGGGGACAAACACCATTACGAAAACTTAAGAGAATGCAGGTGTTTTTAGTTATCAGTTTCTCCCAGGGTGTCTGCAGTGGAAAGAGTCTGCTCTGATTGAGAGCTGGCCCCTCAGCAGCAGGCTTGAACAACAACAGGTGCTTCTCAAGACACCTGCTAAGGCAGGCAAGTCCTGGTAACCCCTGGGCTTGACAGTTAATTAACTAGTTTCTTTCTTTTTTTCCCCCAAGTATTCTTATGATAGATCAATGTTTTATTTCAGTGAACTTCAAATACCTGGAGTCATTTTAAAAATTTTTTCATTTATTGGGCCAGCACCGTGGCTCACTAGGCTAATCCTCTGCCTTGCGGCGCCGGCACACCGGGTCTAGTCCCAGTCAGGGCGCCGGATTCTGTCCCAGTTGCGCCTCTTCCAGGCCAACTCTCTGCTGTGGCCAGGGAAGTGCAGTGGAGGATGGCCCAAGTACTTGGGCCCTGCACCCTATGGGAGACCAGGATAAGTACCTGGCTCCTGCCATTGGATCAGTGCGGTTTGCCGGCCACGGCGGCCATTGGAGGGTGAACCAACGGCAAAGGAAGACCTTTCTCTCTGTCTCTCTCTCTCTCTCTCACTGTCCACTCTGCCTGTCAAAAAAAAAAATTTTTTTTTTCATTTATTTGAAAGGCAGAGAGAGAGATAGAGACACACAGAGAGGAATTTCCTATTTGGTGGTTCATTCACCAAATGCCTGCAATAGCCAAGATCCTGGAACTCAATCCAGGTCTCCCACATGTGGACCAGGGACCCAACTATGTGAGCCAAACCTGCTGCCTCCCAGCAGGAAATTGGATAGGAAGCACAGTTGGGACTGAGACCTAGGCATTCAGAAATGGGGTTGGATTGTCCCAGGGAGTTTGAGTTACTGTGCCCAATGCCCGACTCTCTTTTTTCTTTTCTTTTTGAAGTTTTATTTATTTATTTGAAAGGCAGACTTACAGATAGGCAAAGGCAGAGAGAGGTCTTCTATCTGCTGGTTCACTCCCCATTGGCCGCAATGGCCGGAGCTGTGCCGATCCAAAGGCAGGAGCCAGGAGCTTCTTCTGGGTCTCCCAGATGGGTGTAGGGGCCCAAGGACTTGGGCCATCCTTGGGCCATCTTCTACTGCTTTCCCAGGCCATAGCAGAGAGCTGGATCGGAAGTGGAGCAGCTGGGACTCGAACTGGTGTGTATATGGGATACTGGCACTGCAGGCTATGGCTTTACCTGCTATGCCACAGCACCAGCCCCCCTCTTTTTTTCTTTTAAGATTTATTTATTTATTTGAAAGGCGGAGTTACACAAAGAGAGAAGGAGAAGCAGAGAGAGAGAGAGGTCTTCCATCCACTGGTTCACTCCCCAGTTGGCCGCAATGGCCAGAGCTGTACCGATCTGAAGCCAGGAGCCAGGAGCTTCTTCTGGGTCTCCCACGTGGGTGCAGGGGCCTAAGCACTTGGGCCATCTTCTGCTTTCCCAGGCCATTAACAGAGAGCTGGATCAGAAGTGGAGCATCTGGGACTCGAACTGGCGTCCATATGGGTTGCTGGCACTGCATGCTGTGGCTTTACCTGCTACGCCGCAGCACCGGCCCTCCTCATTTTTTTTTTTTTTCCGATATTGCATTTGTCCTCTCTGAGCCCCTTCAGGTTGACTCCTTTGTGTTTCTGAAATAATCCGTAATCTCTAATGGCTTCCTTTATTTCTGTCACAACAATTATGTCCCGAGCACATTTTTCCCTCCAGGCTCAGCATTAGCCATTTTCTAATGAGCCATGTTATTTCTTAGTGAAGAATGGTATTTATTTATGTTGTGGGTGACGAGAGGGTTAAAGTTACTATTTTGTTGGAAGAATGGTATTTAGGGGTCACTTTCCGGGTGCCACGAGTGCTAGGAATAAAGAGACTTTGTTCTTTTGATTGGAGATTTTTGTTTGGGGCTAAAGCTGCATTTCTTTGTGTAGATAGAGCAGGACTTCAGCTTCAGATTCTGCCTATGCCCCTTGAAAACTATATGACCTTTAAAAAGCTGGTTGAATCACTCACCTTTGCCTTTGTTTTCTCATTGGGATTTTTTATAATAATTAAATGAACTACATGAAAGTACTTAGAACACTCCCTCCCATGAATGAAGTATCCAATTTTATATAAAGGATATTTATATAATATATTACATATAATATATCCAATTATATATAATATAATATATATTCAATTATATATATTATATATATAAAAAAGAGGGGGTGGTGCTGTGGCATAGCACATAAAGCCATAGCCTGCAGTGCCAGTATATATATATTATATAATATATATTATATATATATTAAAAATATCCCTAAGGATATTTTATATATCCTTAGGGATTTATACTGGTGCAAAGGGGGTGATTCTGGATGTTAATCTCTGTGTTTCCCCTGAGAAGGTGAAATCACTCCATGTGGGAAAGGCAACAAGACAAGGACTTTTGTGCAGCCTCCTTGTCCTTTTCCAGACTGTGCTGACTGGGTTCTCGGAACCGCCAGGCTGGCTGGAGCCCACCCGGCAGTCTCGCTGAGGGTTTCTTCTGTACCTTGTATTACCTCTTGTAATAGTTGACCCATTGATTCTTGCCTCTGGTTATGTCCCTAAAGGAAGTCACATTTTCTCTCAGTAGAAGAATGGAATGTAGAAGAATAACAGTGTTTTAAGATTGACCATATATTTGTTGATATTTAATAACATGTTTTCAGGTTACAGATTACAAACAATATAAAAGTTTGGACTTGTTCTCTTTTTGCATTCAAGAGCAGTATGGTGAAATTCTCAGATGTCAGTAAATTGTATGTCACTGACATTGTCTCATTTTTATTTCCAACAAAGTTTAAAATAACAAAAATCAATTTTTTCCAAGATTAAAATAACTGTAAAGAATTTGTTACAGGCTGGTGCCACGGCTCACTAGGCTAATCCTCTGCCTGCGGGCCAGCACCCTGGGTTCTAGTCCCAATTGGGGTGCCGGATTCTGTCTCAATTGCTCCTCTTCCAGTCCAGCTCTCTGCTGTGGCCTGGGAAGGCAGTGGAGGATGGCCCAAGTGCTTGGGCCATGCACCCACATGGGAGACCAGGAGGAAGCACCTGGCTCCTGGCTTCGGATCAGCACAGTGCGCCGGCCATAGCAGCCATTTGGGGGGTGAACCAACGGAAAAGGAAGACCTTTCTCTCTGTCTCTTTCTCTGTCACTGTCTAACTCTGCCTATCAAAAACAAAAAAGAATTTGTTATAATTATTAATACTCTGTAGAAATTCATTAAGTTTGAATATACAAATAAATTAAAATTGTCAAAATAAAAACCAGCCACACACTAAAAGATAGTGACTATTAACTTTCCATGTATTTATATATATCCTGTATGATAAGAAATATAATTCAGTCAGCAACAAAGGTAGAAATATAAGTGTTGAGCTAGAGAGAAACTTACTTTATTTAGCAACTGTTAAAGAGGCCTTGGCTTTTGTAAGCATATTGCTTTATCATGTGGAACTCCAAAATAAATCAAATCCTGATTTTTGTGGGGATCTCTGCTTAAAGAGGCAGTCTTCTGATGAGGTAGTATAATCTTAATAAATTATGTCCTGGGTCACAGTTGTTGTTCTGGGTTCTGAGTGGCTATTGGAAACCTGTATCCTCCCTGGAGCTGCTTCTGCTGTTCAGAGCTCTAGGAATCTCTAGGGCAGAAAATTCCAGCATTGTCTCCATGCTTTTGCTCTCCTCCCTCTGCGCACATACAAACAATGTAGCAAAGAATATTGCTGTATAGTTTATATAGATTTGTAATACTGTTCTGCTAAGCCTGATTGCAGTACTGTTCCAGTTGAATACTAACAGAGCAATACCTTTCATACTTTAATGCCTAACATTAAATTTATTGTAGAAATGATGAGTCGTTATTAAACCTTCCCAGAAACTACAGATAGCATCAGGTATTGGATACATTTTATTGCCTAATCTGTTAGTCCTTGACAACAAAGCCAATCGTGTTGTTATAAGTTTGCTGTGAAATGAATTTCGCTTTTCCTCTTCTGTCCCCCACTATACTGGTATGTGACTGTTATCTCTCTCTCTCTTTTTTTTCCCTCTCTGCTTTAGTTACTGATTTTGGGAGATGGGTGAGTTTTCTTCCTTGAATGATGGGGTGGGTGTTGGTTGGGAAAACTAACTGGCTTTGGCTCCTCTCACTTGTCCACCCCCAAGTTCTGCTGGTTCCGTCCCCTGTCCCATTTCCCTTCTGCTTAAGTGATTCCCATGATGTTTGCTATCTGCGAGTTCTTTTTATATGACATTCTTCATATGTTGGTTGTTTATTAATGTGTAAGATGATGACTTCAGAATGCTATATATTAACAGATATTTTATGGGTTGACATTTAGCAGCACTGGAAATGTGATGCAAATCTCACAAACTTAATGGTGTAGATATTTTTCCGAGAGCAATATCTCAAAGCATCTTTAATATTAAAGCCCTCAGTGTAAAATCTAAGCTTAAAATCTGTTTTTATTTCATTTTAAAACTGGATTGTTTGCCTTTTAGGCCATAGGGAAAGAGGAGTCCCCAAGTGAGAAACGGTTCAAAAAGAGTCCTCTGCTGACTTCAGAGAAAAGGTCAAGTAGAGTTCCATCAACATCACTGGACTTGAATAAAAATGAGTATCTTTCTCTGGACAAAAGCAGCACTTCCGATTCTGTTGATGAAGGTAAAGAATTTCTTATAAATTTTAATTAAATGTCAGTTATGCCTTTTAATGTTTATCTTTGTAGTAAGTGTGTGCAGATTGAGAAACTAGTTGCATTAGATACAGTTGCAGCTTATAAAGAACCAAAAAAGGAACTGAAGTTTATAGAAAATAGAAAAAAGAGGCTTCTAAATCTAACCCAGCTTCACCTCCTTCAGAAGCCTGAAATTTGGGGCTGGCGCTATGTCATAGAAGGTTGAGCCTCTACCTGCAGTGCTGGCATCTCATATGGGTACCGGTTTGAATCCCAGCTGCTCCGCTTCTGATACAGCTCCCTGATGGTGCGCCTGGGAAAGCAGCATAAGATGGACCCAGTCGTTGGGCCCTTGCACCCATGTGGGAAACTGGAACAAGGTCCTGGCTTCTGGCTTCAGCCTGGCCCAGCCCTGGCTGTGGTGGCCATTTGGGGAATGAACTAGCAGATAGAAATTCTCTCTCCCTCTCCCTCTCTCTCTCCCTCCCTCCCTACCCCCTTCTTGCTATCTCTGTGTTTCAAGTAGATAAGTAAATATTAATTAATTTATTTTTTAAAGAAGATTTATTTTATTTGTTTGAAAGAGTTGCAGAGAGAACTAGAGAAAGAGAGAGAGAGAGGCCTTCCATCTATTGGTTCACTCCACAAATGGCCACAGTGGTCAGAGTTGAACCTATCTGAAGCCAGGAGCCAGTAGCTTCTTCATTTCTGGGTCTCCCACATGGGTGCAGGGGCCCAAGGAGTTTGGCCATCTTCTGCTGCTTTCCCAGGTGCACCAGCAGAGAGCTGGATCGGGAGTGGAGCAGCTGGTACTCAAACCAGCACCCATATGGGATGCTGGCATTGGAAGGCAAGACATTAACCCCCTGTACCATGGCACTGGCCCTGATAAGTAAATATTAAAAAAAAGCTTGGAATTTGAAAAATCTCCATCACATTAAGCTTTTCCAATTCCAAGCCTTTAGGCAATGGAGGAGTACCAATGAAAAGGCAAATATATTATAAAACTCTGCCTTCACTCTATGTGCCATACAGTACAAAATGCTCACATTTTATAGGTTATGTGTCCTGTTAGTTCATCTAGGCTCCTTCTCATTTTACAGGTAGGGAAGATAAGACCTGGAGGAGTTAAACATGAAACCATGCATCTAGTTAACCTATAAATCTAGGGTTAGTGATCAGGTCTCTCAGTTTAGTTTTCTTTTTACCTCACCCCAACACTTCTCAAATTCTTTTCTTCTTTTCCTTTTAACAAAGAGACATCTAGCAAAGATTATCTAGGCCTGTTGTGTGTAGGATTATGAAAGCAAGTAGTCATAACTGGAATGCATTCTCAGATGAAATACTAATTTAAGTGATTGAGTTGCTTCCAAAAGGGAATAAAGATGATGCTTCAAATTTCTGGCAAGGAAATATTTCTATCAGTAAATGATTTTTTAAAGATTTATTTATTTTTATTTGAAAGACAGAGTTACAGAGAGAGAGGTAGAAAGAGAGAGAGAAGAAAGAATGAAATCTTCCATCTTCTGGTTCACTTTCCAAATGGCTTCAATGGCCACAGCTGGGCTGATTCGAAGCCGGAAGCTTCTTCTGGGTCTCCCACATGGGTGCAAGGGTCCAAGCACTTTGGCCATTCTCTGCTACTTTCCCAGGCCCATTAGCAGGGAACTGGATCAGAAGCAGAACAGTTGGGACTGGAACTGACACCCATGTGGTATGCTGGCACTGTAGGCAGTGGCTTTATCTGCTATGCCACAGCACTACCCCATAGCACTCCTTCTTAATTACCCCTGTTGTAACCACACTGGGGAAAGAACAAGTTGGATAGAGGAGAAAAATGTCACCTTTAATACTAATAGTGGAAGTTAGAGGATACTGTTGTGTGTGAAAGATGAGAGGGCTGCCGATGGAGCTGACATATGAGATGGACCCATCAGTGCCTGGCAGTGGCCTACCTCTTCCCCAGCCGGAGGCAAGATCATTCGCAGAGGAGCATCAACTTCTATGGGCACCTGGATCTGGGAAGAAGGAAAGACAGAGGTGTACTAAACCTGCCCAGTGAGCTCCTTCCATGTTTTACTAAATATTAGTCAGCATGGGCAGTCATAACAAAATTCCACAGACTGGGTGGCTTAAATAACAGAAATATGGGGGCCAGTGCTGTGGCACAGCAGGTTAAAACCCCAGCCTGCTGCGCCATCATCCCATATGGGTGCCGGTTCAAGTCTCGGCTGCTCCTCTTCTGATCCAGCTCTCTGCTATGGCCTGGGAAAGCAGTAGAAGATGGCCCAAGTCCTTGGCCCCTGCTCCCATGTGGGAGACCAGGAAGAAGCTCCTGGCTCCTGGCTTTGGATCAGCTCAGCTCTGGCTGTTGTGGTCATTTGGGGAGTGAACCAGTGGAATGGAAGACCTCTCTCTCTCTCTGGCTCTACCTCTCTTTGTAACTCTGTCTTTCAAATAAATACAGTAAATCTTTAAAAAAATAACAAATATGTTTTCTTATAATTCTGGAGAAGTCCTAGATTGAGGGCCTGCAGAGTCAATTTCTGACGAAGATGTTTTTCCTGTTTTTTGTGCAGATGACTTCCTGTATTCTTGTGGCTTTCCTCCCTGTGTTCTTGAACACCCCCCCCCCACACACACACACACATACTCACACACAGTGAGTTTGAGTGAAGGCAAGCAAGTGAACCTACTCTCTAGTGTCTCTTTTTATTAGGGCACTGATCCTACCAGACCAGGGCCCTGCTGAAATCACGGATTTAACTTAGTTATTTCCTTAGAGGCCCTATCTCCAAATACAGCCACAAGGAGGGTTAGGGCTTCAGCATATGAATTTTGGGGTGACACAAATATTCAGTCCATAACATTAATCTACTTCCTATAGGCAGAGCTAGTAAACCGGTAGAGAGAGGCCAGTAATTAGCCTGAGTGCCTTTAACTTGGAAGGAGTGGGGAAGAGGCATCTCCACTGCAGCTGTGGCACAGCTGGTAAAGCCGCCGCCTGTAGTGTCAGCATCACATATGGGCGCCGGTTCAAGTCCCAGCTACTCCACTTCCAATCCAGCTCTCTGCTATGGCCTGGGAAAGCAGTGGAAGATGGCCCAAGTCCTTGGGCCCCTGCACCCATGTGGAGTCCTGGACGAAGCTCCTGCTTTGGATCGGCACAGCTCTGGCTGTCGTGGCCAATTGGGAAGTGAACCAGTGGATGCAAGACCCCCCCCCCCTCTCTCTCTCGGCCTCTCCTCTCTCTGTGTAACTCTTTCAAATAAATAAATAAATCTTTAAAAAAATTAAATTAAACAACATAAATCATTTCCCATTTTCTATAAATATGTTTACTATATTAAGATGAGATTTCCCTACAACACTTAATTTTTTTAAAGGTTTATTTTTATTTGAAAGGCAGAGTTACAGAGAGGCTGAGGCAGAGAGAGAAGGAGTGAGAGAGAGAGAGACAATCTTCCATGCACTGGTTCATTCCTCAGATGGCTGCAACGGCCGGAACTGCACCGATCCCAAGCCAGGAGCCAGGAGCTTCTTCCTGGTCTCTCACACAGGTGCAGAGGCTCAAGGACTTGGGCCATCTTCCACTGCTTTCCCAGGCCATAGCAGAGACCTAGATCAGAAGTGGAACAGCCAGGCCTTGAACTGGTGCTCATATGGAATGCCAGCACTGCAGGTGGCGGCTTTACCTAACCCTACAACAGTTAATTTTTAAAATCTCTTTAATTTTTAAAATATTTTAATCTTATTTTTAAAAATCTATATAAAATTATACACATTTATGATGTCATGTGATGTTTCAATACATGCGTACATAGTACAATGTGCCAATTAGGTTAAGTATATTTATCTCCTCAATTATTATTTCTTTATGATGGAAATATTTAATATCCTTTCTTCTTGTTTTTTTGAAATATATAGACTAGTGGTTTGTAAAGTCATGCTCTGCTTAGTGGAACGCTAGGACTTATTTCTCCTATCTGTAACTTGCCACCTATTGACCAACCTTTCCCTTCTCTGTCTCCTGCCTACTTTCCCAGGCTTTGGTAACCATTATTTAAACATACCTTTAAACTTCCAAAGGCAAATGTTAGTTTGTATATTACAATGCTTTCAGAGCTGACTAAGATCAAAGATTTAAAATTTCTCATGTTTCAGACTTTAAAATTATGTTATAGACACATGATGATTGTGCTGCTTTCTTGTAACCAGGGTAAGAGAGAGAGAAAGAGAGAAAGAGAGAAAGAGAGAAAGAGAGAGAGAGAGAGAGAGAGAGAGAGAGACTGACTAGAGGATATAGTTAAAAAGTAGTTATTTAAAGGCCAATTTGTAGCAACTTAATATTCTTTCTAATTTCTCTAAGTACCAATAAACTGGGATTTGTCATTAAGTACTTTTTTTAAATTGTAAGATCATTGCAGTTGAACTTGGTGCAGTGGAAGACATTGGGAAAGATCAAAGTTATTGAGTACTTTATTACCACTCATGCCTTAGTATGCAGCAGGGCATTAATTAGTTGTACCCTGCCTACTGAACTTGGGACTTTAGGAAGACCTATTCTGGCACCCAGTGGCCAAATAGGTAAGTGACACCAAAATAAGGAATTTGTTTTTTTCCTTTCTCACCTACTCTTTTCTAAGGATGGTCCTTACAGAGTAATTTTATTATTGAGTTCCTATAAAAATAACATTAATGATAAATTCCATAAAAGGTTTCCTCAAAACTCAGTTCTGTATCTAGAAATAAATAAGGAATAATTGCCTATGAGCCCCAATCACAGTTTGATCATTGCCAGGACCCCTGTCAAGACTGGCTCCATAGCAGTAGGAACCTACATGTAACATGTCGTCCTCTGTTGTGGAAGTTTTCTTTTAAAGTGTAAGCAATGGTGATTTGTTTGTATTAAATTATTGTTAGATATCAAGTTAAATCACTGTTTTTCCCTAAGCAGGTTCCACAGTCTTGGGCTTGTCATAGTGTT